CTATCCAACTTCTATTGCTCAGTGATGTGTGTGCTATTGAAATTGATTTGCTGAACTACATTTTTAATATTCCTAACTATTATACTCTACATCTGTCAATTTATGTTAAAGACCGCAGTCGGTTCCAATGTCTTAAATATGTCATGCAACTAAGTAACAAGTTTACATGTTGCCTAATGGTATTAGCAGATGAGAATGCGCCACTAAAAACGTCTTTGTTCTATAGGACATGAATTTCAAAAACGAAACCTATAATTTATATGATGATAGGACTGCATTTGTGTAGCTTCTCAAATCCAATAACTCATACTCATTCAGTTTCAGTTCGACCATTCTATTGCCACTTCCATAATATATTCCATATTTTTTCCTTATCTTCCAGTTATAACAAATTCAAATTTAATATCTTATAAAGCACCATATTCTACGCATTAAATCTGGACCTTACTGCATACTGAAATCGATTGTCTGGGACAAACCAATATTGAATAACTAAGGCTAATATATAATCAATCAACACAGCTGCAACAGATCGTTTTACTATAGACTTTCTAATGAAGGTGATTTATGTGAGAAGAAATATAGCAAAAATAATAAATAAACGATAGCTATCAGATTTACAATTTGTGCAATCATCATCCATAGTTATATAGTCCATGTAGGTCCTAAGCTTGCTATACGACATTCCTCCATTCCACCTTCTCTATTTTTAGCTTTTATCTTTCAGTTAATGATCTTCATATCTCTCATATCTTACCTAACACTATCACTCCATGTCTTTCTCGGCCTTCGTTTTCTTCTCGTTGTTTGAATTTCACTCTCGAAGATTTGTGTCCTATCCACTTCATTATATATATAAATATATATATATACCTTACATATTTTATATATATATATATATAATTAGATTGAATAAATTTTAACTATTTATTTTATTTGTATAATTGTATACATATAATCTTCGGTTTCGTTAAAATATTTTCAAACCCTCAACCCTCTCGGGCTATGTGCCTGGGGTAGTTGGGATTACCAGTTGGTTTTTTTGATAGAATGATACGATTCATATATTTTTCTAACAATATTTTTATTGAAACAAATGAGTGAATGATTTGACATCCACGAGGACTCAAAGAGTGTCCTTATGCAATATTTACTTTACATATTAATTTAATCACGTTACAAATTTATTTCCAAATAAACAGAAAAAATCAGAATAAATAAAAATGAAGAGAGAATTACTGTGAAATCCATTCGCATGTAAATTGTAATTGAGTCAAAATGAAATGAAAAATTTTATATGCAAAATTTTGCAATGGGAAGAAGAAGCATTGGAAATGAAATGCAACCAAACGGAAAAGAAAATATGAAATCTCAGTTGAGCGCCGCACAAGCACAAATTCACACGTAGATTGGTTGGATGCGATGGTGAGCATCCGGAATGGGTAATTGCGCCGGCATTCGTTTGGTCTAAGTATTGGGTTGACAGAAAATAGCTTATAGTTCAACTCATTCATCCAATCTGATTTAAGTCAACCGTGCAGTAAATTATCAAATGAAAGAAGTGTTGAAGCATGGAGGTGTTGAGATGTTGAGATGTTGAGCTGTTGAGGTACCGAAGTGTTGGAATGTTGAAGTGTTGAAGCGTTGGAGTGTTAGAGTGTGCTACCATTTCCAACACCCAATTGTCATGCAGATACTAGTACGTCCTTATACTCGAACTCATCTATTCAGATTCGCATGTAAATTGTAAAATTTGTTTTTCGTTTGTTTGTTTAAATTCCTCGCATTATGATTTGCTTGATTCCTTTTCTAATTCTCACTGCTGATTTATATTCATGGGTTGGGACTTACAACGCAAAGGTTGAGTTATTTTTTCAGAATTTTTTCATTTTTTTTTTTTTCTTTAATATTTTTTGTGCAAATTACATTGGAAATTTGATTTACATTCGAAACTAATTTGGTCGAAAATTACAATTTTTGAGTGCATAAAATTTGTAAATCACATTCTCAGCTATTTTAATTCAATGAAAGTTAGTAAACAAGATATATCATTTTTTATGCATAATATAAAAATAATTTGAATTTATATATGCAATAATAAAAATCTACATAAAGATAATCGAAGACTACAACCGTCTATCAAGAACATAGAAATTTCTATGTTTTACTCTTTCATCAAAATTTGATATATGATTTTTACAAATTCTTACAGAAAAAAATTTGGTACAAATATAAATATTTAAATATGGTATATAATGTACATAACTAGGATATTGCATTAGGAACTCTCGTAAGCACGTCGGTCCTCAGGACTTTCTGGGAAAGTATTGGGAAGTATTAAAAAAGATGAACGACAGTCTGCCTCGGGTGTGGACTTTGGATTCACTTTTACAATTGGAGTTGTAAAACACGTGAGTCCTTTTATCATTGCTGTGTTAGTTATTTCCGTTGAAGTCAACATCCCATTTAAGTTGCATCACACATCTAGTAAGAATACTGTGTGGGATCTTTCACATTTGACTAGACTGGAGTATTACTCTTTGTTACTTTGCAATCCGAATTCACATGCAAATCGTATTCAGGTCTATGTATAACACTACAAGTGATCCATTTACTGGAATTCATAGTTGAGGATGATAAATGGGTTGTACAGTTAATAAAAATATATTAGTTTAAAAATCTCATGAGAGATTAATAAAATCTCTCGAAAAGTTAATTACTAAGAGTTTATTTTGTAAAAATGAGATACAAATTCTACATAGATTAAAGTTGCATCAGCAGACAACTTATTGATCGAAGCGAAGTTCAATATAAATTGCTAAAGTGTTATAATAGTTATATTCTCGATCCTTATGCACGTGGAAATGAATTATGTTAGAAAAGTGGTATGTGGGACTAAATTATAATCCATTTATTTGAGTATATCGTATATAGAAAGCTAGCTAAATTTGATTATATTGTAAAATTTAGAAAATCTAGAGTGGCACTTGTATGTAAAGGGGATATAAGTAATGGTTTAATGAATGAGAATTATATTCAACGATAGAAATCACAGATCGCACAATGCCAGGATTGATGACTAACTATAAATCATGTAACTCAAATTTAAATTATAACATATAAGAATATTGAATTTAAAAGTAATATAATTGAGAATTACTTTCCATGGATAGTAACATACATAACATATAATTCAATAGCGCCATTATTTTGGGGAAAGAATACAAACTTGAACTCCAATAAGAAGATATGAGAAATATTTTTATTAAATAAGGAGAGAAAGAAGCAGAGAGAAACCGAAATTGATAAAAAGAGAGAGAAACCGAAATTGATAAAGAGAGAGAAATACCGATTAAAAGAGAGAGAAAAGATATAGAGGGAGAGGAAATATCGAGAGGAATATAAAGAGAAAGCGAGAGAGGAAAAAAAGAAAAAAGTTCGAAAGAAAAAAAGATCGAGAAAAAGAACGAAAAAAGAGATAGAAAAACCGCAAGACAAAAAAATAGAAAAACCGAGATAAAGAGAAAAAAAACCGAAAGAGAGAGACTAAGAAAGCGATATAAAGAACGAAAGAGAGAGATTAAGAACAAAACACAGAGAAAAAGACCGAAAGAGTAAAAGAAAGGCCGAAAGAAGCAGAGAGAAACCGAAATTGATAAAGAGAGAAATACCGATTAAAAAAGAGAGAAAAGATTTAGAGGGAAAGAAATACGGAGAGGGATATAAAGAGAGAGAGAGTAAAATAAGACCGAAAGAAAAAAGTCTGAAAGAAAAAAAACCGAAAAAAGAGAGAGAAAAACCGAAAGAAAGAGAAAGAAATAGAAATATTAAGAGAGAGACCAAGAGAGAAAGAGAAAAAAGACCGAGAGAGAGAAAGAGAGACCGAAAAAGAGACATAAAGAACGAAAGAGTGAGAGAAAAACCGAAAGAAAGAGGAAAAGACGAAGAGACTAAAAGACTAAGAGAGGGTCAAAGATCGAGAGAAAGACTAAGAGAGAAAAAAAGACCAAAAGAGAAATTTTATTATTATTATTTTTAAATTATATTATTATTTTTATATTATACTATTATTTTTATATTAATTTATTATTTTTTAATATATTATCATTTTGGTGTTACTAATTTTGTAATATTGTCAATAAGAATCTAATACACTGTTTTTTTTACTATATATAAAAATTATATTAATGTTGGTAAAATGCTGATAATGCAACTTAAATTTTTATATGTTATATTATTATATTATTTATTATTTATGTATATTTTTATACATTTTTATTAGTCTTTCACATTATCATTTTCAATTAGAATCAATATTTTGTTTTTTTAATAATAATTATGCTATTGTTTTATGCTAGATTAAGTTTTTATAATATATTATATATTGTATTATTATATTATAATTTTCAAATTATTTTATTATTTTTATAATATATTAATATTTTTATATTATATTATTATTATACTAGTTTTATTTATTTTATCAGACTTCCACATTAATATTTTCAGTGAGAATATAGAATTTTGTTTTTTAGATTATAATAATGTAAATGTTTTATGACAGCTTAAATTTTAATAATATACTATATATATTGTATCATTACATTTTAATATTATATTATTGTTTTTATATTATATCATTATTTTTGTATTCAATTATTATTATTGTTACATTATATTATTATTATATGATTACTATTTTAATCTTATATTATTATTATTATATTATATTATTAATAATAAAAATAAAAAATAATGTATTATAAAATTTATTTTATTCACTTTTTGTACTTAAATCAACCACTGTGCGTCTGGTCGTAGTATTTTTATCACAAGTTACCAGATGGTATTTGTTTTTGTTATTGCCTGCATTCAGCTGTATGAAGGCGAATGTTGGTAAATTAACAATATCGTGTTTTTTAAATGTGGTAATGTTGTAATTTATACCAGCTGTTTACATAATTTATTTACTATTTTATAAATTTATTTATATGAATTAGAATTTGTTATAATAAAAGAAATTATCGAAGGAATCGTGCAAGTGCGATGTCGAGCGAGAAAGTAAACATGAATTTATTAATTTATTAGTATTTATTATGAAGAGGAAATATTATTTATATATACCACTTTCATTTTCAGATTAAACGAACTCGAGTACGGAAGGAACCATATAAAAGGTGGACGGATTATGAGCACAAACTGCTCATTGAATTCTTAAATGAAAATAAACCGATAGAGAAGCCAACAGCACAAATTTACTACACAAGATTTGCCAAAAAAAATCAAATCGAAGTTGATTGGGGGAATATACGCTGTAAGGTACGGAATCTACGAGATGTATATAAGAAGGCTCTAAACTTACCAAATCCAACGGAAGATGGACTTTGGCAAGACGAAAACACAATTCAAGGTAAAAATTTATACTTATTTTTAATTAAAATGTATTATCAAGTGTTTCTTTTTGCAGGTCAAAGACTTAAAATATGTCCCTTGTTTAACGATTTAAGAGTAGTGTTTGGAAACTTAACAACTAGTCAGCAAAGGCCTGTTAATACAACACTAATAGAAAGAGACGATGACACTATAATATCGATACAAAACTATCAATCAAATGAAGACATCTCTATAAATGTAAAATTAGAAGACGACTATCTGGAAAGCATTTCTCCATCGCCGTCACACAATGCTAGCAAGCGAATATACTCCTACACGCCATTGTCGGAAACATTAGATATGCAAGCAAATATGAATGAGCTTAGGGACAACAATATGTTAGATTTAGAGGTACGTAGGAGGAAACATAGTCTTACGGAACAACAGTTTGCTCTTGAGCATGAAAGATTTTTGCTGGAAAAGGAAATTAAACAAAGGGAAATATATTTAAAAGAGAAGGAGCTGGAGAGTAAGGAAAAAATTCAAATACTAGAGTTAGAAATGAAAGAGAGAATAGCATTAAAAGAGATTGAGTCTAAAGAAAAGTTAGCTTTAGAGGAATTGAATATGCGTTATGGAAATTTAGAAACTATAAATTGATTATTATGAATAGTATATTAATATCAGAAACAATAATTTTATTTTCTGTATAAGTCGTCATGTTGAACTATGACAAGCTGATATTGTTATGATCCATGCATGGTCCTGATAAACAGAATCGTATGCATGTATAATTACAATATAATTACAATGCAATACATTAAATGATATGAAAAGGGTTGTGCTAATTTATATTTAAGTTAGGTTAGGTTATGCCGGTGACCCCAAAGGATCCACTCAGGCCTATAGGCCCATTTTATTATCGCATAATTAGATAATTTGTATTTAAAGGAACAGAAATATAGGAAGAAATCTTGCTAAATATAGAAAGAAATATGAAATATGAAATCTAATAGGCAGTAGGTGAACTAAATTTGACAGCAACATTTTAAACTTCAAAAGTTTTTCTTCCCCTTTTTTAATTTTTTTTTCTTACACCAATTTGGAAATCTAATCTGGTGCAAGCTTCTAATCAAACCAAGTTCAATTCCTGATAAAATTCAAAAA